GGCCCGCCCCGGCCGGGCCGGGGGCTCCTACCCGCTCGCCCCGGTACAAGTGGGTGGGGGCGCTGGCCTCGGAGGGTCCGCTGCCGACTAGCTGGCTCAGGTCCGGCTGGGGCGCCGTGGGGAGCCAGCGGCAGCGAATGGGGAGGCTTTCTCCTGGTAGAATATTTGTGGCTTCTGAAACGCTCGCGACCCCCGGCCCGGGCCCCACGGACACCCCCTGTCCGTTCACACAGCAGCCACTGGTCACTTGTAGCGGTTGAGCACTGAACGCAGAGCACACACGGATTCTGAAAACAGTACGAAAAAGGTAAAATAGCTCACTCATGTTTGATATTGATTACATGCTGAAACGGTAGTATGTTGGGGTAAATAAAGTAATAAAACGAATGTCACTTGTTATTTTAAGTGACTACAGCGCCCTGCAGATGTCCTATACAGCAAGTCGGCTGGCCCCTGTTTGCCCTTTCTGATTGCACCAAGGAAAGAAACACAAGGCGGTCTCCTGTCGGGGTGGGGTGGGGTGGGGTGGGGTGGGATGGGGGACACACCCTGGAAAATTACTTAAGAAACTCAACCGGAGCAGGGGTTCTGGAATGTCCGAAGGAGTGCAAGTGCCAGGTTAGAGCCCCAGTCACCGCTACCACTTCTATCCTGCCAGGAACAGAAGGAGATTTTCCGGAAATATTCTGCTGACTACTGGCCCCGTGTGATGAGAGGGTGAGGCCTTAGGGTCCCACTAAGGCAGGGGAATTGTCTATAGTCTACATGTCACGGAGTGTAGAATCCGTTGTGTGGAGTCTCAGGGTTTCACTGACCGACCCTGCCTTTTGGACCCTGCTCACCAGAGGGACTGAAGGGGGAGTTGACAGACTGCGTAGCATTGGCAGTGTGCCTTGGAGTGGGGCCCTGGTCCAGCCTGAGTCAGGAGACGGCCAGGGTCTGGGCACTAGGGAAGGCTAAGGTTTGGCCAAGACCAGCCTGAGCTGGCATTCGGATCTCAGTGCTGACGGCTGCTTGGGAAAAATAGATGTTTTCAAACAGTTCATCTGCAACCAGGTCTCTGGGTGAGTAGTCCTTTGGAAAAGGAGAAGAGGCTTTTAGGCGAAATGTGTAAGAACAAAGGAAATGAACAAGCCTGTTTTGTTTACCCAGAAGCAACAAAGCGCTCGCTGGAGACTCTGGCTTAGACCAGCACCATTCTGGGCCCACCTCCTAATAGGAGAAAGAAGCAGACTGGGTGGATTAAATCAGCTTTCCTCTTTGCACGGTTCAGGGAGTTGTAGGACATAATGCAGATATCAGAAACGTATAAGCTTTTATTTGGCTTAACTTTTTAAATTTTATTTTAAAAGTCTGCATACGTCCATGCCAAAAGTATTAGCTCCTGTTGATTCATTTGGGAGAACTTAGAAAAAAGCCTTTCCTGTCAGCTTAACTGAGGGAAGAGGCTGCGGAAAGGGAAACAGCTTTACATGAGCGAGTGACTAAGCCCAGACCCCAGGATGAGGTCACAAATGCTGCCTCTCGACAGGAATGCCATTTACAACCTGCCACAATTTTGTGCCTGCTTATTTGTGTGAATCAGAATTTTCTTGAAAATGTGCAACGTGATACAGTAGTGAATTAGATTCTGTACTTGATAAACGGCAGCTGTCATATATAACCCCTGACTTAAACATTCTTTATTCCTCAAAGTTTTCGTTCTCATTGACTGACTTCATAATAATTACAACATTCAATTTATAAATATATTCTCCTTACTAAATAGTAAGATCTAGTGAGGGGAAAGGTTTGGAAACCACTGGAGTATCTCTGTGTGTGGATTGTGGGGAGACCATGTAAGATCTTTGTTTTGGAGACAGCCCCACAGTGAGAGGCTCTAAAGTCTTAGGAACTTAAAATCCTTTGGGACTTAGTGTCCACCTTCGCGCTCCACAGTCATCTGCAGTGAACTGTGATTAAACACTGCCTCAGCACCCCTTCGTGCTCAGAGACCCAGGAGCTCCCTGGACTTGGGGGTGCTGGCCTGTCACTACTTTCTCCACCACACTGGAGCAGACCTCCACTTGACGCCTAATGCCAGGTAGTGGCGGGGAGACTGTTCCCCTCTCTCTGCTTCCCAACCAGACCTCTCCTGCCCCTTGAGAGACAGCTTTGCGTGTATGAGCCAAGAAAGTCCTGGGTTCATGGTCACAAAATGTCACCTTCTACTCCAACGAAACCCAGACCCACTGATGTTGGTGAAGGCTTCAGGTGAATCTGTCCTATAGTTTGCTCATTCACTAAAAGGATTAAACTGAGCTGTCCTGTTGACCTCAAAGGTGATTGCAAAGAATAAAGCAGTGTCATGGCGCCACAGAACTCTTGCAACTTAAAATAAGCATTCGCATTTGACTGATTCGTCGCCACTTTGCTTTTATTTCAGCCAAAGGGGCTGGAAAATCTTCCCAGTGGCAGGAGACTTGGGTAGGGTCCCAGCTCTGGGTTTGGTTCATTCTGGGGGTCCCTCTCTGGCTCACCTGGTAGCCTCTTCATTGCACCCATGCGATAGCTTGGTTCCAGTCAGGCAAGGCAGCCCATCCCCCACAAGCACCTATGCCCTGTCTACAGTCCTGGAGATCTTCTGATAGAATCTCTATCCTCCCTGGGCCTCCCTGGTGGCACAAGGAGTTAAGTGTAGCAATATTAGCTATCTGGAGCCACTGCAGCATGAGTTCGATCCCTGGCCAGGGAGGTGACCCACATAGTGCAGCAGACCTCTCCTGTCTCCCCATTGCTCCCCTCAGCTGTGTATTTCAGTGCATCTGCCTGTTCTGCTCCCCACTCTGTCTCTGGTGAGTCCTCTCAGCCCCCCTACCCCGCCCCATCACCAAATCTCTACCTTTCCATCCTCTTTACCCAATCCCTGGTGAGGCTTTGCCAAGTCAGCTAAGGCAAAACCCAGTCACCACCCCCTCCCTGGGTCTCACAGAGCTGACTCTGCTACATTGACTCTGCTACCCTTCCTCTCCACCCCTCAGCATTCTCTGCTGAGACTTTACCATCAGCTCACTGCCTGCTGCCTTTCTGTGTGTTTGGCCTACCTAGTGACCTGTGTCTGAGGTCCTGGAGGTACAGTCAGGTCCATGCTGTGGTGCAAGTCTGCAGGGGGCATTTAGGGGCTCAGTGGAGCAGCCTTTATTGCTGGCTTGCTCTCAGGCCAGGCTCCAGTGAGTTTGTGCGCCCTCCTCCAAGCCACCACTACAGAGCCTGCGGAGAGGAGGCAGATGGGACCCTGCTGGACTAGCGCCTGCTTCTGGAGCCGGGGGGTGGGGGGAGGCAAGGTGCGTGCCATCTCTATCCCCCAGCCCCACTTGACTCCTCAGCCTCACTGCATCCTTCAGCCTGCCATCACCTGTTCCTCTCACTTGGATCTGGTGGCTCATAAAGAACAAATAGATTTGGGGACCCAATGCAACCTTTTAATTCCAAGCAGAGTCCCCTCCCCCAGCATTGTCACATACACACCATGGAAAGGGATGCCAGGGTCTGGGCAGGAATGAAACCCAGATCCAGGCAAAAAAATAATAATCATATATATATATAATTATATACACATAGATGTCTGTAGAGGAGAAAAGCTGGGAGTGTGAATAGGTATGGCAGAGAGGTGAAGAAAGCAGCTAGGGGGTGCCCCAATAAATTACATTCTTTAAAGAGCATAGTTAGGGGTACATGGGTGTGGGTGGGACCTGGTAGCCGGGACACCAGGGCGTCTGGTAGCTTGGCCTTCCCATCCCATCCAAGGGCGCCTGAAGGCCCAGGCAGTGCCTAGGACCTGAGCTGGTGCTAGAAGGTAGCATTCTAGCTCACTCTGCTTGGAGGCTGACAGTGACTGGGATTTCGTATAGGTGACATCTCCACTCTAAGCCAGGGCTTCTGGGGGAAGCCACAGGCTGGAGCAAGAGGCTTTGAGCTTGGGGTGCAAGGAGAGGACAGGGCAAGCTGGACGCAGGTGTTTCCCTGCTGGAGGCTGAGCTCCTGCTTGCTTAGATGCCCAGTGCAGGGGGTGCTGATAGGGGAGGTGAGGAGGAGGCTCAGGCTCACAGGGCCCTGACGCTCTCCCTCCCTGCCTCATGTTTACCCTCCTCCTGCTAGGCCAGAGGGTGCCACCTTTTGGTCAGGACAGGCCTGCCCACTAAGTGCCATGTCCTTTTCTCCTTGCTTGTTTCTGGGGAACTTCATGTGGGGGTGGGGGCAGGGAGAGGGCACACACTCTTGCTCTTTGTGTGGGGGGCACCAGGCCACGTGTGCCGTGAGGACCAGGGATGAGACAAGACTCCTCGTGGGGAAGAGAGTCCGGGCCCCAGAACGCTGGCACTGCGGAGATCTTTATGCCCTCCACCAGGGGGTGGAGCAACCCCACTGAGCGCCCTCACCACTCCCCCGAGAGATGATGCTTTGAGGTGTAGCAGCCCCCACTCCAGAGTCTGAAGCAGCAGGGTTGAGGGCCAGTCATGGAGAGTGTGGGGTGATCAGAAGAGAGAGGCCTTTTTCTTGAGTTCATTCCGCTTCCACAGAGCCAGCTTGCTGAACTCTTCAGGTGACATGGAAAATACCCTGGAGAAGTCTTCAGCTGACAGATGCCTCTGCAAGGGGACCAGGGCATGGGGCTGGGATGAGTGCCTGAAGGGGGCATTCACAACAACCGGCCCCAGGCTCCCTGCCCGGCAGCCGCTGGGTAGCCCTGTCACCCGGGCACACTTCCCCAGCCTACCTCAAGCCTCATCCGATCCACACCTGGAGGCAACTTGGTTCGCCCCTTGTTGGTCACCACCAGCATTTCATAGGGGTAGATCTGGGGGAGGGAGAGGGCTGGCTCAGGCTCACAGAGGTCCCAGTCTGCATAACCCCCTGTACCCCCAGGCCCCATATCAGCCTTCAGGGGCGACTGGGGCCCATGCCAGTTTGCCATTTCTCTCTCCCAACTTGCCTGGGCCCCTCCCAACCTCAACTCCAGGAGGCCCCTTAGCCATTCACTGCTCTGGCTTCTCCCCCGCTGGCCCACCCATGGTAGATGGTAAGTGCCCTCCCACCACCCCTGGCTCTACCCCTGCCCCTCACCTTCTGCTCCAGCACACAGGGCAGGGAGTTCCCCCGGTCCATCCTCCCCCTCTGGCCCTCTCCGTTCTGGGGAGACCAAAGCCGCAGTGAGCCAGAGTGGGGCAGGGAGACCTCTCAGACTCACCGTGGGCTTCTTGCTTCTCACCAGGATCTCTGTGCCCCCCCCACCCCCGACAATGCAGTTGCCAGTCCTAGCTCCTGGTGCTCCGTGTTCCCCTCCGGATGACACTCACCTGCAGGCCTGCGGGAGAGAAGCAGCATTACTCAGAGACAGCTATTTCAGCAGCCTCTGACCTACCAGCTCAGCCTCCCTGACCTCCAGCCACAGAACCATGCCATGGCACAGGTGCCCCTCTTCCAGCTTGCTGGCATCAGATCTCCCCACTTCTCACCTGGGCTTCCAGTCTCACTCCCCGATGATGGGCTGAAGTCCGTGGACTGAAGCTGGAAAGGGCAGATGGGATGGGATTAGCGGAGCTGAGCAATCTGCACTGGGCCCCTTCACACTAAGGGCCTTGCCCATGCCAAGGAGTCCCTCAGAGGCCTCACGTGCACCCCTTGCGCTAGTGTGTCATCTCTGCTCTAGGACCCTTACCCGGCTCAGGGTAGTCCTGCCATAGGCCGGGAGAGAAGAAGACTTAGACGTTCCTCCGTGCAAAGCTGGAAGACAAGAGGCCCTGGTTCAGTCCCTTTGGCCTGACAGTCATTTGTGAGAGGACTACCCCCACCCCCACCGCCCCACCCCCCAGTCACCCTGCCAGGGTGGGCCTGGGGAAGCTGTGAACCTCTGTTGGCTTTGAGCTCTTGTCCATCACCTTCAGTAAGAGACACTGTGTGGGGCCCTCCCTGGTGGCGCAGCACTGGGAAGCTAAAGCCACTTCCGCATGAGTTCGATCCCCGCCTGCCCCGGAGGTGACCCACATGGCGTGGCAGACCTCTCCTGACCCGCCCGCTGCTCCCCTCAGCAGTGTACTTCGTCGATCTGCCTGTTCTGCTCCCCGCTGTGTCTCTGGTGAAGCCTCTCACTACCCCTGAGCCTCTGGCCTGTACCCCAGTTCTGTATGCACAAATAAATAAATCTTTAAAAAAAAGAGAGAGAGAGAGAGACACTGTGTGTGGCGCTGGACTGTCTCTAATGCCTCCCCTCTCTAAATAAGGCCCAGCAGGTACGTTGTGGGCCCGATGTCTGAGTGTTAAAATTGATAGCCAAAGCTGTCGTGCTATGATATGGAGGATGTTGAGAACCTCTGGGGTACAAACAAATCTAAATAAAATTCAGTAAAAAGAATCAGATTGTTATATTTTCTATTAGAACTGTCAGTAATCAAATTTCAAGTGTTTGATGTTGTAACACAGAAGCCATTTTCTCTGCACCTTCAGCTGCTCACTTGCACAACCTCACATTGGCACCATCAGCTGTCGTGTTCAGCTTGCACGTTTCCGAATCTCACTAGACTTCCCAGCACTGCAGATTATAATTCAAGAAAATTTGTTTTCCGCAGTGGCTCCTCTTGGAAGGATTTTGTATGACCTAAGGTCCTTAGTTTAGGCAGATCTTAAAGCTATTTCTTCATCTCAGCTACCAGGAAGGGCTGCATTTTAGACAACCTGGGCTGGAAGTTGTTTGCAAGTTTCATGAGTGAGCCCAAAATGTGGGTGTTTCCCCCCTTAGTACTTTTATTTTTTTCACCTAATCACCTAAAATGATCCCTTTTGTAGTCATCATTCATCCACGAAGCATTTCACTTGTGCAGTTGGCGTACATTTCTACTTAAACGGACTGATGGAACTTCAACCTACAAAGCACCAAAAAGGTTCGTCTCGAATGCTGATTTACACTTGCAAGTGGTTATTCCAATTGTCAAGTCAAGAACACACCTGCTCATGATTCTAACTTGTTGGGCTTGATTAGCTACGTGGAACCTACTTGATCTTCTGATAACTGATCATTCACATGAGCAAGGACGTCGCCTGCGATGCGAGGTAGACTTGGCTACTGAACTTCAAAAGACCAAAATGGAAATTAAAGAGCAAATTTTGGCTGAACAGCAAATTCTGATGGAAACTGGAGACTGACTTCAACCTTCAGAAGACCTAGCTGCCTCATTCTTGCAGCCTCAACTGTTCGCAGGCCTGTTAGGACTGTCCCCTGCCATATCACCTGCAGCTTTGGGGATGCCCTAGCCTTACATAAACCCTGGCAGTTCCTTGACTCCCCCAGCTCCATCCTACATGAGACAACCCCCTCAAATGGCTACCCCAGATTTCCTTCCCACTAACATGTCAACCCGGAGCCCCCCCCCATCTGAGACCCTGCTCTGAGACCACACCTCCTTGTTTGCCGCTTCCCCAGTCTCCTTGGCAGCTCGGCAATCTCGGGGAACCTCCGGTGTCTCGATTCCCCCCACCTCCTCTGCCCTTTGACCTGTGGCTGGATACATTCACTGCTTTGATGAGCACTCAGCAGCTCAACCTGGCCCAGCAGCCCTTTCCTTACAGAACTCTGGACAGATCAGGCTCCTCTGCCGACACAGTCTGTGCAGCAGCAAGATTAGTATCCCTGCAGATGCCAAGTCTGTGTCAGTTTCTTTCCTTTAGAAACTATTCCAAACCTGCACCAGCCTCACCATGCCTCACCCTCTATGCTCTGTTGAGACAACCTCAATTTCCCAGGTCTTGGTCCCTACCCCTCCGAGGAACAAGCCTCTCAAGCCAGCCTCCCACACCCCCAGGCCAGCTGTCCTTCCGGCAGCCTCCACTGCACCCAGATGAAGGAGCTCACCTGGCACTGCCTCCAGCGCCCTCCCCTCTCTGGAGGGCTCATTTTCTCCTGATCTTCCTAATACAAAAATGCTGAAGACTACCCCTCCAGCTTCCCACTGGGTCAGGCTCAGCTCCCACCTCCACACCCACAGAGGGTGCTTCAGACCCAAAACACCCCAGCCAGTTTCTTTATTGTTCCCCAAACCTGCATCTTTCATGATCTCAGGTCCAGATTCGTCAGCACCTGGCGCCAAGACAAAACTCAACTATCTGTCCTGAACCTCCCACACTCAAACCGCCATGAGTGCAGATCCCACCTCCTACTCACTCCTCCAGCCCTTCCCCTCCCCAGACGGGATGTTATTTTTAGTCCTTACCTAGATTTGGAAAGTATAGTAGGCTGTCTCCAAGGATGGCTTGCAATGTACCCTCCCATCCTGACGCGGGGCTCCTCCCTCGGTAAGGGGCATTTCTTTGTCCCCCCTCGAGTCTGGGCTGCCCACTGACCGGCTGACCATGAGACAGCAGTAGAACAATGACAGGAGACTCCAGGCTAGGCTCTTAGGGACCTTGTAACTTGTAGTTTGGGGTTCTCTGATCCTCCTCTCCTTCCCAGCTACCAGGTTCTAAGGAAGTCTGGGCTAGGTTTGGGTGGTCAGAGGTGCTGTGTCCAAAGTCCTGTCCCCACCCTTCACGGTACACTCTGGCTCTCTTATGCCAGGCTCCCAGAGGCCCACGGAGCTGGCCAGGTGGTTTCCTCTTCCATCCTGCACCGGAAACTTTTCTCCCATGCTCACTTTTTCATTCTTCAACAAGATTCAGTTCACCCCTCCCAAGCCCCAAAAGTAACAGTCTCATCTCACCTCAACTGGCCACGCAGCCCAGTTTAAACCCCAGTGCCTTTCCCTCCTGATGGGACTCATAGGAGGACAGGAAAATCTTTTTGGTCTATATTTCCCAGTGCCTAGCACACAGCAGACACTCAGTAAATATCGGTTAAACTACATTTGCTACTTCACTTTAGATGATGCTCTTTTGCCACTGAGTCCTGCCCCAAGGCGGGTTTCCCGGCCTGGGGAGATCATGAGCGCCTGAGGCAGAGCCCAAGTCCTGGGTCTCTCATGCCCCTGGCAGCACAGTGCCAGGTGGGTGGCAGACAAATGCAACAGGCCTCTTGCTGCCAGCTCTGGGCCTGGCCAGGTGAATCCAAACCCCCACCATGGCACTCACAGGTGTGAAAGGGGGTCCGGTCAGGCAGGGAGCGGGTTTTCCTCCGGATAGGCAGTGACTTCTCCATCTCTTCCTTCAAGATCATCTTTCCCAAGTTGGAAGTAACCTGGAGAGGGAGGAAGGAGCCACGACTCAGAAATTCATTCCTCATCCCCCAAATTTTCAGAGTTGGGTAGACTGCCGGCAGACCTAGAGACTGATTTCCTGGGGGCCCAGGCACCCCGGGGGGCCCATGACAGCCTGTGTTGTGGTCCAAGGCACAGCTAATGGGCTTTGGCTGCCTTTAGAGCAGGAGTCCGACCTGCTCTCCCCAAGACAACACGGGGGTGGTGCGGGTTAAGAGTGGAGGGCGGCCAGTGCTACCTTACTGAGCTCCTCTCGCTGCCGCTCCCGGAGAGCCTTCATCTCATCCCCCGAGTCATCCTCTTCCTCCTCCTCTTCTTCCTCTGCTCCTCTTCGAGATGCCTTCCGCTTCCTCCATTCTGTCTCTGAGGAAACAAGAGCAAGCAGAAGGGTCAGTCCACCCTTACCCCACCCCTGCCGGTAGGTGTCTACTGCCCCTTAAAGAGAACACTCCAGTTACTACAACAATAATTAAAGCAACATGGCCTGGCCTTGCAGTGAAGCACTCCACACTTAAATTCGGTGGGGACCAAGCTCTTGTCTTGGTCGTTCTGTTTCTCTTTGCAAGAGCTCTTAGCACAGAGACTAGGATGCGGCAGGAATTTGATAGATGTCTGTTGATGTTCACGTCCAATACATGAATGGAAAAGTGAACAAGTGACTAATAAAAAGTTGTACTGAGAACATAGGAATGCAGGGGATGGGTGAGCACTGAGCCTGGAGGGTTCGTGAAGGTGGTAAGGGCACGCAAGGACACTGTAGGACATAGGGTGAGGGCTGGGATGAGAGTGGGTTCAAGGGGACTCAATGGGGGGCCAAGAGGGAGGCTGGTGAGGTGGTGTCTGGGCCTCCCCCTTGCTGCTCTCCAACAGCTCCTCTTACCTACGACGGCCAGCGACGGGGGACATGGCCAGTAGTCAGTTTCTATCTTGGCTGGCTGGTTGGGGTCGGGGGGCTGGGCTGCAGGGAACTTAGATGACTCGATGATGAGGTCCTCGATAAGGTGCTTGCTCTGAGGACTGCCTCCCATGGACTCTGCAGGTGAAGGTCAGGGTCAGTCCAGGCACACCCTGCCCTGGAGACCATGTTGGTCTATCCATAGCCCCCAACTCCCTCATTTTCCCTCCTTCACCGGAGAACATGAGATAAAAGCACACCTAGAGCTGGGCAAAGGTTATGAAGTTATAGCTGGTGCCAGCCCTCAGTACCAAGGACAGCCCTTATGCCCCCAGCATACGATGGGCTAGGGTTCAATTAGGGGAACCCTCACCTCTTTGCTTGTAGATGGGTGGCTTCTTGTAGATGTTGGAATCTGGGCGGGTGGTCTCTGTGGAGAGGGAATGAGAGCAGCTGAGAAGGAGGGGAAGAAGGGTGTGGGGGTGGTGGGGAAGGCCGTCAGTAATGTGGATTGTACAGTAGAAGGTAGGAAATTCAAGGGTTCCTGCCAAAAGCCACAGCAGCATGGAAGCTTCTGGCGCTGTCCTCAGGCTGGGGGACTTGTTGCACTTTTCTAAAGGAGGAAAATGCAGCAGGACCAACTCTGGGAGCTCTCCTGGGACCCTGGCATTGGGGACCCCAGTTCTGTGGTAGCCAGTTCCATGGTGTGCAACTACTCCAGAGAGTAAGGAACTGAGAGGAGGGGTCTGGGGCTCCTGAAGGGGAAGGATGCAGCCAAGCTGAAGGTTTGACCTACCAGGATGGTGGAAGTGGGGCAGGCTGGTCCGGGGGGTGCCAGTGGTCCTTGGGGCTGTAGCCTGAGAGAGGGTTCCAGGGGACCGGCTCTCTGCCCACACCTGTAGGGGACAAAGATGGTTCCCTGCAGCTCCCAGGTCCTCAACCTACCCCCTCCAACCCATGTAGATGTTACTTCACCTCACTCCCTCATCCTGTCCCCCGCCCTAGCGGCCCACATGTCCCAACCCCAGGGAAGAGGCAGGATATCCAAGGACTCAACCTGCTGATGGCCCAGGTAAAAAGGGTGAATGAGGTCCTGGGTCAGACAGATGGCTGGGCACAGAGCTGGCCAGTAACAGGGTGAGAGCCACTGATTCTGTCACTGCCTGGGCCCCCGCAGAGCCAGGTCTAAATGTGTGGGGAAGGGGAGCTGGGCCCTGTCAGAGCAGGGCTGGGCAAGTGTCAGAGTAGGGCAGACTCACCTCTGGGGATGGTGGGGGGGATGTGGATTTGGGTGACAGCGAGCGCTGTGAATGGAGAGCAGGCTGGTCAGAGCCACAGAGGATTAAACCCTCCTCCCTAAAACCCCAGGGGCCTCTCCATCCCCCATTCAACTCTGCACCCTTGCCTGGCCAGTTTCTGATGGCCTCTTCTCCCTCAATCCTGCCAGTTCCCAGAGCTGGCTCTGCATTCTTACCGGGCCTGTTCTCCCTTCTAGCAGAATCCCACTACCCCTTGGATGCAGGAAGAAGCCACAGACCTCGGAGCAGTGTGAGTGCACAAGGGCTACCCTGAGGTGGTTAAGTCCCTGTACCAGAGCCTGACAGCGAACTGGAGGGAGGAGACCTACCAGCATCCAGGATGGAGTCGGGGCTCCTCAAGGGCCGTTAGGCCTCCCCACAGCCTGGCCCCCTCTCCCCCCTTTCTCAAGCACAGTTTACCCAGTACCCGCTGAGTGTTAGCCCATGCACTTGACTACCTCGTGAGGCGGACAGGCAGCAGTATCACTTTTACTTTACAGGAGGGGAAACAGACCACACATTCACACAGCTCACTGAGCAAGACTTCCAGCCTCTGAGTTCGGTGCTCCTGAGCGCCTGCAAGCGCCTTCTCTTCCTGCCCACGCCTCCCTGCTCCTGCCCAAGCCCCCTGTGCTGCCACCATGCAACATGGCCTCCCACTCTCCACACAGCGCTACCCTCCACCCCAGCCCCTCTCTCCTGTTCTCACCGGCACCGGTCAGCAGGCTGATTCCCCCACAGTCTGCCCCCCCCCCCGAAAGAGAGCAGGAAAGGCAGTCCACACCCCCCCACACTAGTGTGGTTGGGCGAGCCCGTCCCTCAAGTCCTGTTCCAGAGGGGCCTCCCACCCCTCACCTCCCGACTTCTGGGAAGGTCCACATGCTCCAGGAGAGAATAGGTAAAATGGGGCTCATAGATCATGAGGTCAGGCCGCTCAATGTCCAGGATGGCCTTGTCCTTGGGGATGGCGGCCAAGTCTTTGTAGCCCAGCACCTGATTGTCCATCTTGGCCTGAGAGGAAACAGAGCAAGTGGAGTGAGTATGCTGAAAGCCTTCCCTACAATCCTGGCCTCACAAGCCACGCTTGTAATGTGTTAAGGAGAGAACAGGGGGCCGCTTTACATAACGGTTCTTGTAAGTTAACATTTCTACTATTTCAATTTTAAGGATTTCAGTGGTAGCCTTAAAAATGACAGCCGGTGGTCTAGCACTTGGGGTACCACCAGACCTGCCCAGTGGAAGGGGGTATGGAGAATCTTCTCTGCATATGTAGGTCCCAGTAGCACTATCATCCAGGAGGTTCTGAGTGAATCAGCTGTTCAGTCAGGGGGGGCACCCCGCCCGCCCTCCTCCCAGCCTGAGGCTGCTGGTGGCCTAGGGTACTCACCACGATGCTGGAGGGAGAGCCAGGCACGCTGGAGTCTCTGGAGGAGCTCACGCTCCCAGGGGAGGTAAGTGGTTGCTGGGAAGAGTGAGAAGGGGGGGCGGGTGGGAATGTGGTGCGAGCGAGGGCCAGGCAGGGCTCTTGGAAGGTGGCAGAGCAAGCTTGGGGTGGGGGGGGCGGGGCCCTCCCAGAGGGCTTCCCTAGGCCTCTGGGGTCCCGGGGTGCGGCGCTGCCGACAAACACCAGGTGGCACCATCCATTCCCGACTTGGCCCCCACCCGGTGGGCGCAGTCCCCACACACCTTCTGCAGCCGTTCCATGCAGCGGCGGGGCAGGTCACTGGCGGAGCCCTGTGCGCGAAGGGAGACGACAGGACGTCAGGCTCTGCCCGGCTCCGGGGCGCTGCGCGCTCGCGGTCGCGAAAGCAGAGAGGGCGGTCCACTGCGCTGTAGCGTCCTCATCCCTCGGCGACTCTCCCGGCTGCAGACCGAGTGCTGGGCCTGGCAGGGAGGGAGAACGTGCCAGCCGGGGGTGTACCTGGGGGGGGGGCGGCGGCGGCAGCCCCTCGGGCTCCGCTGGGAGTGGGAGAGCTGGGCTGACGGGCGGCAGGGCCCTCCTGGGCACCGGGCACCGGCTTCCGGCCAGCTCAGCCCTGAGGAAGGCCAGACATGTGGACCAACGCAGGAGAGTGAATGGGGCTGCACTTGTTTTTTTGAGCCATTGTTCTCGGGCTGGAAAGGAAATGACGGCAGGGGCCAGAGGTCTGCGGTGCAGCCTGTACACCCCTGTTTTGTCACACCTGCCCTGCCCCTGCGAAACAGGCCGCAGTCCAGTTCCAGGCCAGGCTTCCCACTGCCCTCGGCTTCTGCCATGACTTTTCTCTCTGGCGCTATGCTGGCCTCCCTCTTTCCACACCCGCCCAACCTACTGTGCCACCTTAAGTCCGCAAGATAGAACACAGAGGGACCCATGCCAGTGAGGTGGACACACTGGGAAGAGGCACTGGAAGGAAGCCCACTTTGCATGGTCAGGTCAGTGGGGGCTGAGCTGCCACTCTGCTCCAGGCTCCACCCAGCCAAGGGAGACTCCATCCCTTTTGCCAACTGGTGTGGGAGGAGGGGGGAGGGGCGGGAGGGGGGGGGAAGGCTCCCTCAACCTGTCTCACAGGCTTTTGGAAAAGCATCCTATGGCCGCAGGTCTGCCTCCCAGCTGGGGCTGCCCTCTGAAGGGCTGCTTGCCCACTCAGCACCCCTGGAGTGCCTAGGGCCTTGGCACTGTCTGCTGCTGTAGAATCCCCTGAGCCACAGCCCAGTCTTCCCTGTCCTTCCTCAGTAACTCTTAGCGGCTCCCTCCCACCCCACCCCCACAGCCCACACAATAACCATTCAGTGACTGCCTGGCTGAGTTTCCAGTGTGATAGGGGCAGCCGGCAGCCTCTCCTCTCCACTTGCTGACCATAAGCCAGAGTGAAGGGCCTAATGGCTACAGAAAGTACAGGGAAGAGGCAGCACCATACTGTGGCTAAGGTCAAAGGTCAGAGTGGACCACCTGGATATTGTACCGACCCTGCTTCTCAGAAACCGTGTGACCTTGGGCAACTTTTCTCTGTGCCACATTTCTCATCTGTAATATGGGGAAGAGTAACAGTTACTGTGTCATAGGGTACTCTGGGTATCAGGTCAGTTTATAACAGGTAAAGGGCTAAAAAACCACAATTCTGTGTGGAGTGTTAGCTACTATTATTATTTCCATCCCCCAAGGACTGGTGAACTTAGCTGACTTTTCTAGTGTTCTTTGTGATGGAGAATCATGAAAGACTGAGGGCACTGGTATTCCCAGTCTTATCACCTACTACTTTGTATCAGGCCATTGTTTTACTGTCTCCACCACCCAAACCAGCCCTTGCTGCACAAGCAGTCCTTACTCCCACTTCGGCTCATGACCATCTCCGGTTCTCAGTCCTTTTCTGTATTTCTCAGATCCCAACCATCTTTCAAGCCCTCTTCCTCTGGGAGGCCTCCCCTGTGATTCCAGTCCTCAGTGGTATCCCAGTGGGACTTAAAAGAGAACCAGGCAACTGAATCTGAGAACCAGGTTAAAAAAAAGAGAGAGAGAGAGAGAACCAGGTAACTAACTCAGCCCTTGATTATATGTTTCCTGACATGGAAACATGTTTTTTCCCTCGTTGAACAACTGCTAAGTTTTGGAGGATAAAATAATAATAGCAGCTACCATTTTTAATACGTTAAGTAGGCACTTCGACAGTTTATAAGGATTATTTTTTGTTGCATCTCTATAACAACTCCACAAGGTGAATCCATTTTACAGACAAGGAAACTGAGGTTCAGAGAGGTTAAAACTTGGCCAGAGTCAAAGAGTTGAAAATGACTGGGGCTTGAGCATGGGGGCGATTGACAGAGCCAGCCTCGTACTGTGCCGGGTGCATCACAGGCATACGCGAGGTCCTGCCACTGTTCCCAAGAGCCAACGCAACTCCAAGACAAGAATCCGGCTATCAAAGTCACAGTAGGTATCTGGTGCCCATGGATAGAGTCTTCTATTCCAGAGCATCATTCTTCTCTTACCTTCTTAGAACTCACTTTTTAATGCTTTCCACTAGGTGTCTGACAACCATAGTAACCTCCAATAAATATTTGAAGATCTGTTAACTCCCTTTCACTCATGTCTGATTTTTACTTTGATAAATCATTGACAAATTTGCTATACATGGGCTTAGCACTAGAGGTAAACTAGCCCATTATCCATGTACCCACTCAGGTACCCACTCATCCACCCATTTATTCATTTACCATCCATCCATCCATCATCCACTCACCCATCTATCCATCCACTCACCATCCATCCATGCATCCGTGCATGCATACATATATATACTCATCCTACTCACCTGTCCATCCACCCATTTAGTCACTCATCCACTCATCATTACCCACCTGTTCATGTACTGTTTTTCTATCCTTTCATCAAATACTTTCTGCAATGCCTATAGCATCATACTCTGTGGTGAGTATTATGGAGAACAGAAAGATGAATCAAAGGAACTTAGCTGTCCCTCCAGAAATGAGACACAGATAGAGATAACTCCGTGCAAAGCAGAACACTACATGTGCCAGATAAGATAGTATGAGAAGCTGTGAGAGGTCAGAGGAGAGAGTGGTCACTCCTGTGGGATATGAGGAGGGGAAAGTAAATGGGGTTTCATAAAGGAGGAAGTATTTGAGCTGGCCCTTGAAGGATGCCCAGTTTGAGATCATGCAAAAACTGAAAGGGATTCTTGAAAGAGAAAGCAGCGGGGTGAGGGTAGGACATTGGGAAGTGCTACTAAGTCTGGGGAGCAGCAAATGTGGCTGGATCACAGGGCTTAGGGGTGGGGTGGGAGGTTGGGGGCCAGCTTGTGAAGGCTGTGAACTCAGACTAACGGATTGAGGATTGAGATTGTATTCCGTGGTCAACAGGGGGCCATGGCATGCTTAAAGTATTTTTTAAGCCAGGCCCTCCCTGGTGGCGCAGCAGGTTAAAGCACTGCACTAAGAAGCTTAGGCCACTTCCTCATGAGTTCGATCCCTGCCTGCCCCGAGGAGATCCACATGGCGGCAGACCACTTCTGACCCGCCTGCCGCTCCCCTCAGCAGTGTACTTCATTGATCTGCCTGTTCTGCTCCCCACTCTGTCCCTGGTGAGTCCTCTCATCCTCCGCATCTCTGGACTGTACCCCAATTCTGTATGAATAAATAAATATTTTTTAAGCCAGTAAGTGGCGGATCCAGACCTTTGGGAAAATGAATGTGGCTGCAGCTTGGGGGACTGAACAGGAATAGGCAGCCCCCAGGGTGCCCAGCAAGGAGGCTGTGGCCAAAGGTTGGGGGCGGGGGAACTACGGGGCTGGATCTGGGCAAGGGACCAAAGATGAAAAGGTGACAGCTAGGAGAAATCCTAGAGGCAGAAGGTGCAAAATAGGACTTGATACAGAGAATAAGGCGGACAGGTTGCAAGCTCCAGAGACAGAAGAACGGAAAGCAATGAGTTGAGCTTTTGCCAGGCTGAGAACGAGGTGGGTGAGTAAGTGAACAGGTAGGAATGTCCAGGAAGAAGAGGAGGTTGGGGAAGAGGCTGGCAGGAAACAGAGATCTGGGAGCCATTTGAGCTGGAGGTGGTCTGAACATAAGGTTGCTGAGGGAAAAAGAACGTCACTGTCACATCCTGGGGGACTAGAAGGAAAAAGCAGCCAGATATGGCATGAGGAGGAGGAGGAGGAGGAGGAGGAAAAGAGACGGCCAGCTCTGGGAAGGCAGGGACTGATCCAGTGATTTTTTAAAAATATTTATTTATTTATTTATGCATACAGAACTGGGGTACAGGCCAAAGGTGCAGGGGTGGGGAGAGGAATCGCCAGGGACAGAGTGGGGAGCAGAACAGGCAGATGGAGGAGGTTACACTGCTAAGGGGAGCAGTGAGGGGGTTCAGGAGAGATCTGCTGTGCCAGGTGGCTCACCTCCGGGGCTGGGATCAAACTCCCACTGAAGCAGCTGCAGCCAGCTTGCAGTGCTGTGTCCTAACCCATTGCACCACCAGGGAGGGCCCAATCTAATACTTTTTTTTTTTTTTATATTTTAGCCAAAGGTCTAGACTAGGACATATGTAGTAAATATTGAAGGAAGGGAAGATGCCTGAGGAAGTATTATGTCATGGAGCCACTGTAAGAAAAGGAGTGATAACTCGCAGTTTGAGTGTGGGGCCTGATGAGCTTATTTTGGAGGAACAGTGCTGCCTCAAGGTTGGGGGTAGCAGGTGAGGGAGGCCTGGCCGGGACATTCAGGGGCGTGGGGTGCACGTCCAGAAGGGCAGGAGGGGTAGACGAGTGCCTAAGGAGGAGGTGAGGTGAGGTTAGGGGAGGAGAAAGTGTGAATAGTCTGTAGGCCATGGAGGGAGCAGGCCCTGAAAAGTAGAGGGAGAGAAGCTTTCAAGGAGGGCAGGCTTCTGTCCAGCCCCGCCGACGGACTGGTTTGGAAGCAAAGCTCAGCAAACTCTTCTAATTCTAAAAGGAGCAGAAGCAGGCATTTAGGGATTTATGGGGCATGCAGAGGGAGGTGGGCCAACCGGGAGGCTTGTTTCCTCAGGAAGTGAGCGGTGAGGCCAGGTGGGGACGCTCAAGGAGGGTGGAAGTCAGGCGAAGCCGGAAGTGCATTAGGGAAGCAGAACCCTGCAGCGGGCAGGTGAGGGCCGAGGCTGAGCTGGCCAGGGACAGTGGAGAGATCCACTCTGTGTTCTGGAGTCTGCAGGGCTGAACCTGGGAGTGGCTGCCCTTTGAACACCAACTGCAGTGGGGGTAGAGAGGGGGCAGTGACTGGGGGGGGGGAGTGACCACCCTACCAAGGAGGGCGGTGAGGGCTGCAAGGTGAGCCTTGTCACCAAAGTGCGTGGTTACGGGAGGACCCCTCCACCACCACCACACAGGCGCAGCCACTCAGAAGTGTGCTGGGGGGGTGGGGGGGGGCAGTGGGGCTCTGCTCTGTCTCCAGTCCTGGCGCTTAGGCCTGGGTCTCCTCTCCCTCAGCCCTGACCCACACCCCCAAGGCCCTGCCCACCAGCCCTCAGGGCGTTAGGAAGCAAGTTGGCAAATTTAGGATCTCCCCCTTTTGAGGGTCATCTGGATTTTAATTTGGGTCTATTCTGGTGAAATTTTAGGCCACAAGGGAAAATGTTTTAGGAGTGGAGGAATGTATGAGAGAGATAACCAGGCATGCTTGAGCTCCAGAGAAAAGGTTTTCTTGGCTTCTCTTAAATCCTGTCTTGTCATGTGGGCAACTGCTAACTCTACACACGTGGAGCCGCCCCCCCCCCCAAAGGTAATTTCCTTGCGAGACTAGTCAACCTGCCTCTCCCCCTCTCTCTTCCTCCTCCACCCCAACCCCTTTTCCTCACATACTTGCTTCCCCTATGCACGTGTGCTCCCTGGGCCCCAAAAACCTTCCCTGCACTGGCCCCAGAGGGCAGGCTGCAGCAGGAAGGGGGAGGGGCGATGGAAGGAAAGGGAGAGGACCACAGAGGAAGGCAAGTCCAGCGGAAGGGACACCTAGCTCAGCGACTACGCAGGCTTCCTTCACACACCCCTTCACGGCCACCATCCTGCCACCCCCACCTGCCTGCCTCCAGCAGGGCCTTATCTGAGCTGCCAGCCAAGCCCCACCCACAGGCCCACCCTCAGCTCCTGGGGGCAGTGATAAGAACCACCCACCCCAGCTGGCTCTTGTTCAGGTGGGGATAACCAGACTGTGGTCCACTTCTGGACGGTCACAACTGAAGGGTCACCCCGCAGAAGCCCAGTCTCGCGTCCTTAGCCCAGTCTGCTCCTCTCCAAGCCACCAGCCTTTGATGTGTGCCAGTCACCATACCAGGGACGTCAAGCTTCCCCTCACTTCACATAACACAGAGACTTCTTCGTCTAGAGGCTGACTAACCAAAGGCTACCCAAGTGGAAGCCAAGCTGGACTTCCTGCCCAGGCCTGTCTTTTCTGTAGGCCCACCCTGCTTTAGCAGGCCCCAGAGGCCCTGCTTTAATCTGAACTTAGGGCTTGGGGTCCATGGGGTTGGCAGAGCCACCAGAATGCTGCTTGCTGGCCTGTTCAGGGGTTGAGGCGATGGCTCAGTCGGGCGGGAGGAAGCTTGCTGGGCTACAGACAGTAAGCGAATCATGAAATGAGGTGGCCAGCCAAGTGGGCTGGGGTCAGGGCGGGCAGCAGGACCTTTGCCCCTCTCCTTCCCCCACCCTGCCTCTCCCCTTTCTGCTGTTTTTCACTCCGTCCTTCTTTCTTCATCTTTTCTCCCTCTGCCTGTTTCCCTTTCACCCTCTCCCCCTCCCAGCCCCACCCCCGCAGTTACTGTGGCAACAACTCAATGCCAGAAATAAAGGCAAGATCCAGCTAGGTCACCCGTTCCCAAAACAGCACCCCAGGGCGGAGATGGGAAAAGCTGCCGCAGGGAAGGCCCCAGGGTACTGGGGGGGCGGGGCCTGGTGTGTGTGTGTGTGTGTGTGTGTGTGTGTGTGTGTGTGTGTGTGTAGGTGACAACACACTTGCCCAAAAGACATGGCCAGCAGCGAGGCTGGCGCACACCTGCACCGGTGCCCCCAGAGCATCCTTCCTGCAGCGACGCCCGAGGCCTGCGCTTTGTCCAGGGCTGGCAGAGCAAACCCTTCCTCTTTCATTTGCTCTATCCTCCGCCGCAGCTTTAAAGCCCCGTTCTGCCTGTCTGCCTGTCCTGTAATGCCAGCACTATACAGTGGGCTGTCACACTCTGGGGAAGGGGGGCAGGAGGTAGCCCAGAATCTGGGTGTGACCCAAGAACCCACCTGTTCAAGGCCCTCTCCTGCTCCGATGACAGCAGGGCGGGGCCCAGAGGCCCCTTTCCTGCCCTGTGCCCCACACAAATATGCCTCCATTTGCCCCCTCTCCCTCCTAGCTTGACTTCCCCTCTCCTCTCTCGTTGCCCTCCCTCTGGAGGGCCCCTCTTCCTGTGCCTCCCCCTCCCCTGTGCCCCACACTGCTTGGTCCTGCTCTGGCCTCTCTAGCAGGTGCAGACACTAGTGTCATTTGTACACAACAGGCAGGGAGCGTGCGAGGGTCTTGGATCCCAAATTCAGCTTTCTGCAGCCCTCCTATTCTGGTCTCTCCATACCTGTGATCCCTAAAAGAGGGATGCCTCAGACCTGCACCCCAGGATGGACAGCCCAGCACAGGTGTCTGGCACAGGGTGCTGGAGGGCAGGCAGGCAGCACCCAGCCAGACTCACGTGGGCACAGGCCGTGTACCCACACGGAAGCAGTTGCAGCACTCACGCACCCTGCTTGCGCGATCACTCCCCCACGCTCCCGGTGAGGCCCCCACACAGTGACACATGGTGTGGCTGACGCCCACTCGCACCCACCCACCGACCCTCCCCTTGGCACCGGCTCTCCGCGCTCACAGCCACCGCACCATGTGCTGACACCTCTCCCGGAGGGCTGCACGCGGACAGCGACATACGGACAGCCCCCCACTTACCCTGGCCCTGGGGCTTCTCATGCCCCCCTCCCGCTCATAAAGCCAGAGACTGGCTTCCTTCTCCTAGGCCTGCCCCGTGGCACTCTGCCTCCTGTGCATGGTCTCTTGGGAGGGAACACCAGGAACGGGCATCTAGCCTGCCAGGCCCGGAGGGTAAGGCTGGTAGGGCTCCTCCAGGGCATGTGGGCTGGGCTGGCCTTCAGCAGTGTGCCCACTGTGCCTAGGGAGCCGGGAGCCACGCCCTGCCACTCAGCCCAACTCGGCATTTGGCCTTCACCCCAGTCTGGCCAGTCCTGGGCTAGAAGGGGGTTCGCTAGGGCTCTCTCCTCAAGCAGGGGCCACACCAACAGCATCCGGGGCTCTGTATGAGCACTCCCACCCCAAGGGGCCTGGTGGGAGGGAGGCAGGCTGCAGCCCTTTCCTTTTCCCATTATTCCACAGAGGAACACCCCCTGGCCACCTGGTGCCCCACCTCTGGCACCAGAGAAGGGACCCGGGGTGGCAGCGTGGCACATCCCAGTCCCTTTTCCCCAAATCAGAAGGAGATTTGATCAGATCAAGCCCCACCAGTCCCAGGTTCTGGCCACCCAGCCACCCAGCCCCACTCTCCCTCTGAGTCAGGGGCCAGAGCTGACTCCGTCCCTCGGGGGTGGGGGCATCCCCGCCACCCCCCACCCAAAGCTTCACTGCCAGACAGCGGTTGTAGTCCAAAGCGCCCACCCACAGGGAAGAGGGGCCGGAGTCCCTGCCACCTACCTCTTCCCAGACCCCGTGGCCAGGTGCTCAGAGGCCCCAAGACCAGGCAGGGAGGGGGCACAGGCCCAGCTCCCAGGGCCGCTGCTTTTCCTCACAGCCTAGGTAACAGGCGTCTCCTCCAGGCACCCAGCCGAGCTTTCCCGGGAGCTCCGATAACAGGAAAAAAGCTGGCTTGGGGTGAGTGGGTGGGGAGCTGGCGAGGGAGGGGAGTGGTCTCAGCTGACGGCCTGACCTCCCTCTGGGCCCCCACTCAGCTTCTGCACCAGTGGCTCAGAGGATCGGAGCTGGGGAGCTGCGTCTGGCGGTGGCGGCAGGCGGGCCAATGGCTCCCCCTCCCAGCACCCTCCCCACCTCCAGCTGATAGCGTGTGGCCGGTGGAGGGTGTGTGTTTGCCTGTGTCTGCTCTTCCACCGGCTCACTGCAGCTCAACGCATTTCAAACAAGAGGAACACTAAGCCGGCATCATGACGAAGCAGAATCGGAAGCAGACGCGGCCAGTCGCTGGCCTCTTCCCTTTCCCACACCCCCAACCTGCCATGCTGTTCACCCTCACAGCCCCCCAACCTCCACAGGGGAGGGGGCCCTCCAGATAACAGAGGGGTGACCACGCCCGCTTTTTCCAACCACCTGTCTCTCCTTCTCATCACCGAACAGTAGCAACCGAAGCCTCTGGGGGCCCGGCTTCCCTGGGGTGCAAAAGGGCACAGATGCCAGGGGTGGGGTGTGGGCAGGGATGTTGTTTAGTCACCCAAGAATTAGCCCTCTCCAGGGGAGGGACTCGTGGGAGAATGTGAGAAACCAGGTCAGACTGGGTGACCTGAATCCCCTGGGAAGTCAGAGCACAGTCTGAAGGAGAAGGACGCTGCTTCTCCACAGTCCCTTCATCAAAAAGGGACTCCTACCAGGTGACCCCAAGTCCGGCACTGAGGCACAGAACCACAGGGAGGTGGCTTCCAGGTCTCCGGAAAACCTCCACCTCTCTGGGAGCCGAGCTGGGCTCGGCTCCGTCTTGGCCTTTTGGCTCTGTGGAGCTCAGAGCAGAGACTCAGTTGTGACCCTGGGGTGGGGAGGGAGCGGCCAGCCTTCCTGACCAGCCCTCCTGACCAGCCCTCCCCTCCACCTCCAGCAGACTTGCTTACCTAGGCAGCCCTTACTGTTGCCCGGGTAACCGCTGCCCACAGCCGGTCAGCTGATAGTGTCAGCTGTCACTGGGGTGATCTAGGGTCTGGGGAGGGGGCTCTTGAGTACCTGAATGGAAAACCACCTTGGGGGTGTTGAGGGGGACTGGTGAAGATGTGCCCCCACCCCACCAGGGTTTCTTTCCCAAAGAAGAGTGAACAGGAGAGACAGGTAGGGACTGGAAAGAAGGATGCATCTGGCTAGTGGGAAGCAGAGAACATACCCTGAAGGATGGGCTCCTGAAAGGAAAAATGCAGGAGGTAGGGAGCTGAATGACTGAGAAGGAGCAGAGAGAATGCAGACCGGTAGCTCTGCCTGCGTGCTGGGGGTGGGGAGCTGGGGAGAAATCTTGGGGTGGGGGGAGAGACACAGGATCCATCTAACTACAGGGGGAAAAAAACACAGGCCAGGTGGTGGTACAGGAGGGGGCATTCTGGATGTGCGGGTGTAGGGGCAGCCTTGGAGGGGACAACCAGCCCAGCTCTCTGCTTTCTGCCCCTTCAGCCCCACAGCCTGCCCTGGAGTTAGGGCCTGGGAGCTTGAGGTGCGCCCTGGCTCCACCCCGCTTCTGCTCCTCCACAGCCCCCCACCCCCACAGGGGACCAAGAGGCAGGTGCTTTTCTGTCTCAACCCTTTAGGACCCCTGATTTTCCCCACAATCTTGGATCCTCCCCTGCTCTCTCCCCACCAGACCCCACCCCTAGAGATTTGTCTTCCGGTGTGAGCAGCCCCAGAGGTGGGGCTGGAAGGAGCTGAGGCCGCTGCCGGGAAGGACCCTACCGGCCTGGACAAGGCACTTCACGGGAATGGGTAGGCGTCGCTGCACCAGGGTGGAGAGGGGAGCATCCTCCTCAGGGAAACAAGCACGGGAGTGGGGGGTTGTGGAGAAAGGAGGGGAAGGGAGGGGAGGGCTCTCTGTACCTTCAAGGGCCTGGGGCGTGGGGCAGGAGCAGAGCTTCCTCGGTGACATACACCTCCATCCCTCGGCGCATCTCCTCTCCGCCTCCCGTTGCCAGGACAACCTGCCGGCTCAGCCGAGGCAGGGAGGGGGAGGAGGCTGCCTTGGCTCCTAAGGCCTCTTCTTCAGGGGTGGAGGGAGGGGGTCTGAGGCTGGCTTCACGGCTGGGCTAGGGCTGCGGCAGCTCCGGGGGCCAAGGTCCCACGGAGCCCCACCAAGTCGCCCCCGCCTGCCATAAGACTGTTCCTGGAGTGAACCCAGGAGAACCCTAATCAGGGCCAGACAACAGGCGGCCTTGGAGAGGGTGGCAGGACTAGGGAGCTCACCCCTTTCCAGAAAGCTCCGCATGGATTTGGGAGAGAACCAAAGAAACACAGAGTGGACAGCCCATGTGAAGGGTCAGAGCGGTGGCGACCCACTCACTCTCCTGACCCGGGAGGCAGTCAGAACCTGGGGTCACACTCCTCCACTCCTTCAAGATTCCGCTCCCACTATTGCCCCCTACTCCGTAGGAATGTCCCTCCACGAGGCACGCCACCTGGGGCAGGAATTGTCTTCTTCCCATCAGCCCTGGAATCCGGGGGACTGCAGAGTTAGGGCTCCCTCTGTCGACCTGAGGTGTAGCGGCTGTCAAGGTCATTCCTAGCTGAGAGGATCTGTGTGTGTGAGTGTGTGTGGGGGGGGGGGCGAAGGGAGGGTGCTGGGGATAGGGCACAGTCAGGTCAGGAGACCCTTCTCTCACCTGCTTCCACCTGGCCTAGTCCTGTGGAGACATGCTCCCCTTCTCTGCACCCCTCCCCTCCGGAAGACCAGACTCCTCAAAACCACCTGGAGGGTCTTCTACTGTCTGCCTGCCTCCCCCACCCCCACCCAGTCAGGCTGGGCTGAGGTAGAAGCAGAACTTTCCCTCTATAAACAGACAACACTGAAGGCCAGGAGCCTATTAGCCAGGCTCCAGGGCGGCTCTCCGAACACCGCTAGCCATAGGCTAATAGGAATAGCATACCTTCAGGCTCAGGAGTGTCTAGGCCTTGAGGATGGGCACCTGTGTCCACAACAGGGGGGTGGGACTCCAGCCCCTCTCAGGCAGGCGGTTCAGGGCCCCAGACACCTAGTTCTTGGCTTCTTTTCTCAGCAAGGTCACTGGTGCCAGACGTCCTGACAGGATTTTGGCCTGGGCCGGCCCCCTCCCAGGCCTGGCTTCTCTGCGTTCTCTCGGTCTCACTCCAGTGCCCCTCGCCCCGCCCCACGCACCAACCTTTGGGAAAGGGGGAGCACCGGGGACACTCCCTCTGTGCCTATGCTGTCTAAATATTAACTCCTGAGGAGGCTGGCTAGGCCTGGGCCCTGAGGAGGACAGGCCACAGAGCACCGGAGGAATGAAAGTATGGTCAGGGGCCCAAGACGGACAGAGCCTGTCTCCCCGGCGTTTGGAAGCAACACAACCCGCCTCTAAGCACCGGGCCTCTGACTCTCCAAGCAGACCCCAAACCTCAGCCCTCAGCAAGACCAGCCTCTCCCCCAAACCCTGACCTCTTGTTGCATTTAGTCACCCCCCCTTCCCAAGCCCCTCAGTAGCACAAAGACCGTAATGTGGCCCAGACACTTCTCACCAGTTCTCTACATCAACCCACAGGTCTAGCCAGCCCCAGGAACTGCTGGCTTTCCCTCAGCACACCTTACGTTTTCTGCCTCAAAGTCTTTCTTTTCATGCTGTTTTCACTCTCAATATTTCCCTTCTGCGGTCTTTGCTGACCGAAATTCCGCTCATTTCTAAGGATTGCGCAAACTGCAGGCTCTCCACCTTTACACCCACTGTGCCTGGGAGCCAGCTGGGGCGGGTGAGAACACCCCCTCCAGGCCCGAGGACCTGGGGCAGTCTAAGTGGTACCCCCACCAGCAAGGACTGATGGTATTTAGCCTCTGAGTTAGAGCTTGCACACACACGGCTAGGGAATCATCTCACCCCCTAAGTGAGCCCTGACAAGTGAGCAAGCCTTGGGAGCTGCCTGGTATACCTCTGAGGCCTGTGTCCACTATTGTCCTTATTCTAGAGGCTCTTATTTCCTCTTTCACTCTTTGGCCTACATCAGATGCTACTTGCTAGCTTCCACGTAAGAGAGGTGTGGGTTGGGGGACGACATTTCCAAAACAGTTAAGTTTCAAGTGCTTGATGAGGGTGACACAGTATTCTGCCCATCTGGTTTAGCGGCCAAAGGCTAGTAGAGTGCTTGTATGTCAGATGAAAAGATTTTGAGGGATTGTGTAGGGTCCCTCCCCACCCGAGTCAATGTAAGGAAGAAGGCAGGATTCTGGTCTCTTGTCTGGGCTGGAGCAGATGCAGGCTGCTGCATTCTGCATAACTTCTTTCTGGACCTTCTGTCAGTTTATTCCCAGATAACTCCTCTGTGTTGCAAATGCTGGACATTGTTGGCAAAAACTATTTCTACAACTTGAAGCACTTGCTCTCTGGCAATGCAGATGACACAAGCACAATAAGCCAGGCAGGCCCCTGGCAGAGATGCCAGCAGCCACAGAGGATGCCACCTCTGGCGGCGAGTGGGGTACAGAGAAGACGGCCGTCATCTGGACATGCAGGCATCTGGAAGAGCGTGCTGAGCGGTGGGAATGCTGCGGACCAGGGTGGGTGCAGCATGCTTGCTGGATGGCAAGGGTTGCACTTTCGCCAGCATTCTATAAGCGGGTGGCGGTGAGGAGGGACAGAACTGGGAAGAGGGTCTGGACAGGGCTGTACAGGAATCTTGAAAACCACATGAAGGAGTGTGCAGAGACTGTGAAATGTGGGCAGAGCTGAGGTTCATGGCAGGGTAAGGGAAGCTGAGCAAACGGTGTGGTGTCCCGGTCAGGAGGTAGAGAGGCATTTAGGAAACTTCACAGTCTCGCTGAGATAGTGAGGTCTGACGTGGGGCAGGGCTCCAGAGTTTGGGAAAGAACAAGTCATGGGCAAGGGGATGTTAGCTGCGATGTTGAGATTGCACAGGGAAAGAGGAATAGAATAAAGAACAAGGAAACAGAGAATGGCAGAGGTCTCAGGAAACACTGCTGTGAACAGGAGGCAGGAAAGAGACAAGGCTGCGAGCAGAGTAAAGGAAGGACAGGCAGGTGACCAAGGCGGAAGGAGGAGAGACCCGGGAAAGGGTGGTCCTTGGCAAAGCCCAGGGCTGTGAGGGGAGGGCATCTAGGACCAGCCTTCGGCTTGATAAGCGGGAGGTCACTGGCCCTGGGTCT